GATGCGATGCGATGCGATGCGATGCGATGCACTCAAGAGCGGCCGATCGCCATGTCCTACTGTACGTCGGAAGAAAAGTTGAGTCAGCACTCAAAGGTCCATACGAGCAGCTCAGCGATCGACTTACGTTGAAGTTGAACCGCATCATATCCCAGATCCGCTGCATGCCCCTTTCGAGGGCGCAGTGGAGCCGCTGGTCGCTTGGGTTATGACCCATCCGTTCAAGCTCGGTGTAGAAGTCGCCGAGGACACGGAAGATGTCATCGTAGACTGCCGCCTTTTCGTCGACGCTGAGAGCCGGATAACCTCGCACCATGATATCGAAAGTGCGCTGCCTGGACGATCGCTCCGGCTGACGAGGACGCTCGACAACACGCAGCCGTCCATCCGGACCTGCTTCCATGCAGATGCTGACGCGCATGATGATCACTTGTAGAGATGGTGAGAGCGGCTGAGGGACTTGGTGAAGGTGGTGGAGGTGGTGGAGAAGAAAGAAGCAGTGCGGGATGAGCTCGGATATATGAAGGTGCGGAACGGCGGCTATGCATGCGGAACTCGCAACCTCCGTCCGCACATCCGCAAACAAGGTTCCGCTCCTGGGTCTCGAAACTTGCCGCACGTTGAGGCGTGCGGAACACTTTTCCGCACCTCCGCCTTGCTTTCCCACGTCTACGTCCACCATCTCTCTGACTTCGTGTTCCCCCCTCTTGCCTGCCGCGTTAGCCCGCCTCTGACGTGCTTGGCTTCCTCCGCATCCTAATACCTTGCCCAACTGTGTGTAATCACCGACCCCCAGGCTGGTATCTTGTGCTTGCGACTGACCATGCGCCACGTCTCTATGGAAATCCTGCTTATGCATAGTGACATCCGCCGCCTCGATTCTTGGACCCTACCTCCTCGCCTGCTCCCCCCGACGGTCAAGACCGAGGTAAGTGCGAGCCATCGCATAACAACCTTTTGCGCTACTGACGATCCTTTGCTTCGACTCTCTAGACGCAGTCACGGTGATCAATGAGACCTTCGAAAAGGCTCACCGTGCGTATCAGGCGAGCGTCTGGACGCTGATCAAGTTCGACACGCATCACTCCCTGGAGCTTATCCTCCTGCGGAAGGAGCCACGCCATCAGCTCGGCCTGCCAAAACACAGTCACTGATTCCTGCAGCGCAGCATCGGCATCAAATTCGTGTGTGCTCTGCTACACGGTGCGGTCGCGATCGATCTGAGCGAGCCTACCCTGGGTCTGCTGCTTTGCATGCACCTCGTCTTCGTCGAAGCCTAGAAGCGACTTGGCTTTCACTCTTGCGCGCACAAGCGCCTGCGCAATGATGTTCGGCCTTCTCCCCGCCATCTCGGCCTCGTTAGCCGCAGGAGGCTGCACAAGAGGCAGACCGAGACGCGAACGCACGCGGTTCAACACACCCTCCTCCATGTTGCGATCTTGGTCGCTGTACACCGCGCCTTTTCCTTTTCGCCCGCTCAGCTCGGCCCAAGGACCCTCCTGTTCGGCGCCACGGAAACGCAGCTCTGTCTCGCCACTAGAGCTTCCATCGCTGCTGGATTCGGTCGCCTGGCGAGACCTCTTGCTTTCTGGATCGACATCCTCGTCCTCGTCTCGCTCGATGAGATAGCCGTCTTGCAACTCCTTGACTTGCGAATAGTGGCCCGAGTACCACCACATCTTGAGCTTCTGCCACGGCCCGAGCGGATAGCCGTCCAGGAATGGCGGCCGCAGCGATTCCAGCAGCTTGATCCTCTTCTGTGGCATCGAGGTGCGCTGCAAGACGTCGTGTTCGCGCTTCGTCGATCCCAGTCGCTGCTCGTCGCCGTCCATGATCTGCGAGCGCGTCCACATGATGCCTTGTTGAGACGTGTCCTTGTGCGCAACAAAACGCGCCAGGCCAAACTTTTCGATGCGTCGTCGCAGCATCCCGAAGCTCATCTGCGACTCGATCTGTGCTGTCGTCAGCGTCTTGCAGTAGGAGCGCCACACTGCTTGCTCGGCACCAGCTGCGCTCTGCTTTCGATCGCCTTCGCTTGCCTCGCTAGGGAGCATGAAGCCGAAGCGCTCCTTGTACACCAGACCCTCGGTCACTGCCAGGACGGTGGTATGGTCGAGATTGCGCGTCCAGCTCCGCATCGCTCTGCCGTTCTTGGTGCGTCCCTTGAGGCTCGTATCTAGCTGCGTGGGCGACGCCGACCCATCGTCGGAGGAGCCCTGCGCCGTTGCGCTTGCTCTGGGCGGAAAGAGGTCGAGCTCAACCTCGCTCTGTTCCATCACCCAGCTCTCGGCATTCTTGATGATTCCCGACGGCGCCCACTTTGGCAGATTGCCGCGCTTGAGGATAAGTCGCGTAGTGCAAAGCACTGGGATCGTGTCGATTTGCGAATCGAGCGTCACGGACGACGAACTCGGCGTCGAGTACGACCCGCTCCGAACAGGGCGGTATTCGATGCGGCGATCGATCACATCTACCGAGAGCACGTGCGAGGCGCTCGGATTGGGATAGCGTAGGAAGTAGGAGCGCACGCACGACGACCACGAATGATCGTAGCTCGACTGATGCACGAAGTCCTTGACCATCGCGGTCGGCGTGTGTGCGGCTGGCCGTGCCGCGAGTCTGAGCGGAGTGCTTGTGTGGAGAAGAATGTGGTGGGAGAGAAGAAAGTCAACAGACTTGCATGGAGACAACAAATTGCAACCCGGCGGGAAAAAGCGCAGCTCCAACCCACCGCTCAGTGTGTGGAGAACGGAGCGTTGGCGAAATTCCGGAAGGTCCATCCGACTCGACTCGGAAAGTCATTCCGACTGAGCCTGCTTCCGCTTCCGCACTTCAGAAGATGGGCTGCATCTGTCAGGCTCCAATCACAAACGTAGACGACGGGTAGATTGCAGCTAATGTACACAGTAGAGAGAGGGATGGGAGCCGGCCATCGAGTGTTTCTGGTGAAGAGCGAAGCGAGTTTCGAGTGCGAGTGGATGAGCGCCAGTAGTCCATCTGGTATATTGGCCAACTTCTCGAGGCAAGGCCAGATGCTTGTGATAGATAGTATGCCGGATCAAACCGATGCCGCACGGATAGTGTGTCACGACGCAATGGCGCCTCATTCGACATGCTTGCAAGCGGCTGACGGCGGGACGAGGTCACGATGTCGCGCGCACGAGAGGGGATGATTGCTTCACCGTGTCTTGACGTTCTCTAGCGCCTCGAGCGAAGTGACGCTGTTGCCTCGGACGACGACAGTCCCGCATCGTTCGCCATCCTGCCATACATTGGGGTTGCCCGCGTCGGGATGCACCTGCTCGATCGCGTCGTCGACGACGAGGTTGAGGAACATGTCGAAGCCGCGCAGCGTGCCCTGCACCTTGCGACCGCCCTGGATGTTGACGGCGATGCGCTTGTCGAGGAAGCGCTTGAGCTCCGGTTGCGAGACTTTGGCCATCGTTGCTCAGCTACGGTCCGCAGAAGCTACTTTGAGGTGGATGCGTGTGGAAAGGTGGAAGAGTGGATTCAAGCTCGAAGGATTGGACCCTCAGCCAAAGTCAAGTCCGCCTTCCGAGGAAAGCGCGCTGCTCGGTGCCGAAAAATCCAACTCAACGGAGAACACGCGCAACCTAACAACGCAAAAAATCCTCACAGGACGCTGTGCCTCGTATCGTGCCGTTCTGCTGACTTCGACGAAATGGAGTTGCGACCACCCTGTCGTTGCCCTGTGGATCCTAGAGTCTCCGCTGAGAGCACGAGCGAGGTCTTATCTGCAGCGTGCATGAATACGGTCGTCGCTTGCGTCCACACTGACGACCATGCGGTCGCATCTGCCACGCGTCTGGGCCGTGTCTTGCGCCCTGCGGTCACGGCCATTTGGGCTGTGAGCTTTTGGAACTCAGCCCGGCCGCGACCATGTGCATCCTTTCCCGCTTTGTGAAAACGCCGTACGCTCTCGCGTGCTCGCGATGCGTCGGGCAACTTCCGTGCTGCCAACCCGCATGGACTCGGATGCGCTGCCAAGGCGTGTCACGCTGGTTCCAAAGGGATTTTGCACCGCCTCAATCCTCGTGGGCGCAGAGGCTGACGGTGAGGTATGGGCTCGGATCGGCTGCTTTGGCATGACGTTGCAAATTCGCCGCCGGTCAACGCGACAGGGTCTCGGCACAGACCGCCCCTGCCGAGCCATCAGATCATCCACTTGCCGCGCCGCTCGGCATCTAAGCTGGCTGCCTGTGAAGCACGACTTCATGTCCACGTCCTCGAGTGATGCCGCCTCGAAGCAGCCGTTTTGCCGCCACACGCTGCAGAGAATGCATTGATGGTCAGAAAAGTACAAAACGGACATGTGAGTTGCAGCCTCCTCTTCCCTAGCAGACCAAGCACTGAGTTGATCATCCCTCGGTGCAAACGTCATCTTCCACTCGACATGGACTTGGACTTGGAGAAAGATCCTCTTCTCGGTTCGCACCCAACCGCCGATATGTCAGCTAAAACTTCGCTCAACGAGGACCATATCGAACTGCGGGTGGGCGATGGAGCCGCCTCGCAACACCGAGGCACGGCAGTCGGCATGCTTTCCAGAGGGCTCAAGGGGTTGGCGATCCTGCTGATTGCTTTCTTGGCCGCCAATGGCTTCTGGGCGCTCGTGCGTCCCGAGCTGTACGGTCACAATGGCTTGTTCTCCTTCAACGGCGGTGTCAATAGCGATCACGGCGGCCGCCACAGTCATCGTCACCACCATCACCACCACCACGAACACGGTCCTCCCCACGGTCCTCCCCACGGCCCCCCTCGTGGTCCTCCTCATGGTCCTCCTCATGGTCCTCCTCACGGTCCTCCAGGTGGACCTCCTGGCCATGGACCCGAGCACCCCCCTCCTCCTCCTCACGGCCCGCCGTCGCACCCGCATCCCCCTCCCCCGCCTCCTCCGCCTGGCAAGCCGGGACGTGGACCCGGTGGCGATCGACCCGGGCACCCCTTCCCACCTCCGCCTCCTCCGCATCACCCTCCTCCTCCGCCGCCTCCTCCCCGGGGGCCAGGCAAGGTGCAGGAGTGCTTCGACCTCAAGCCGGGCAAGACGCTCGAGATCCGCTCGTCTCTCGACTGGTTTGGCCAGAGCGTTCAGGTAGCTCCGTCGTTTGCGGGCTCGAGCGTCACCTTTGTGTGGGACGGCCAGGTGGGTCCTCCCGGCCGTCCTCGTGGTCCACACCGCGACCTGACCGAAAGCAAAGAAAATGGCGAAAAGCCCAAGGAGCCCAAGAAAGCCCTTGGCGATGTTGTGTATACGGTCGAGGCGCCGTCCAAGAAGGAGTGGGAGGATGCTGGCATCTCTGCACTCGAGCTCAAGATCTGCACCACCCGTCGACCGGATGCAACGGGTCTGGACATCTTCAACGCGAGCGGCATCCCGCCCAGCCATGCTCGCATCGACCCGGCTTTCGAGCGCATCGCGCCGCTCTTCAACACCACAGTCCAGCTTCCCAGCCACTACGCCCGCACTCCCATCCGCGCAGGATCCTTCCCTTGACCATGCGCAGCCGCCCCTCCCTATACCATGTCCATGCCCTCTTTGCAGACCTGGAACCTAGTATGAATTCGGACCGAAATGCATCTCGTGGTATCACTGAGCGCGCTGAGCGTTGTGCCGTGGTTGAGTCGTTACTGCTGAGCGGGCCGGTCAGTCAAGTGGCAGGGGCAAGCACTTCCAACCATGCATGTCGAACTCCGCAACTATCGATCGAAATCAAGAGGTGACACAGCGCGTGTCAGTATATAGATGCTTCAATTCGAAGAGCGAGCACAATGAGAGGTTGCTTCGTCCAGTGGTAGGATACCTCTTTCGGGCAAAACCCGGTGTGATACACACCAGATCAAAAGAGGCTCTGTAATAGAGGTGGTCGCGGGTTCGAATCCCGCAGTGACCCTCCCTTTTTTGCGGTTTTTTTGGAGGCAGCACAGCGCAGTCCACTTTTTGGACCCGAGTTTGTGCCAAAAAGACGATGACAGGTGTCAGTCTCGCTCTCTCTCTCACTCTCTCTCTTTGCGGAGGCGGGGGAGGATCCGCGCACTTTGCTCCACCGCAATGGCAGTCGATGCAGTCAAGTCACAGTAGATGAACGGCAGGAGTCGCACATACGGACGAGATCGATTCGTCACCTATGCAACCGCCTTGAATCGCCAGATGCAGGTCAGCGCGTGAACGGGGTCCCGAACGAGGCTCGAGCACGCAGGTGCATTGCCTGGCCTGTTTCCCCATTGTGTCCCTTTGTCTCGCTCAGTTCCGGTCAATGGAGGTGCCAGGATGAACGAGAATCACCAGGTCTCGATCTGCTACCACTCCGTTTCGTTTCGACCACCATGCTGCCCACCGGAAGGTCGAGCATGTCTGAACGCGCTTCTCGAGACACTGGCCGAGTGGGCGCCAAGCAACATCCGACAGCCTCAGCGAAGCATGTCTGGGCAGCCAGCCGTCCCGCAGTGCCTCACGCACCCGCTGATGGGATGAGTGCACCTCTAGTCCCGTTCGAGTCGCTTCCTTTGATCAAGTCCGAACGATCCACCTTGTCCTCCTGCTGCGTTCGATGGTGCTTTACGGCTACCTTTCTCAACAGGGACCAGGGTCTGGCGCGAGGCTCTCTGGCAATCCAAGTCAATCGCTGGCTGGCACACCACGGTATCAGCGACCCTTGCCTCGGCGTCAACTTTCCGATTCCCAGAGGACGAGGTCGATTTGTAGACGTGCATGTGGTTGCCTCCAGCATGGAAGTTTTGGCCCAAGCGCCACTGATCTTTCGCGGTGCTCGACTCGAGCGACACCTCGTCGGCCTCGCACTGTACCCATCAATTATGGTGGTCGAAGTGACTGGATCAAGCATTGCAGATACTGGCATCGCCCAGCAATTGGCAGACGTGCTGGCGCCTTTTGCCCAAGTGCACGACATCTGGCTCGAGGAACGATCCCATGGCCAGGATGTCAGCATACGCAAAAGCAAGATGATCGCCCTGGTCGAAACGGCGCTGAGCGAGCGGGGATATCGCGACTGGGACAAAGTCACAGCTATTCCCGGCTGGGCTGTGCTCAACGGCCGCGAGTGCAGGCTAGACTATGTCGGTCGGCTCGAGTGGTGCACCTTTTGCCGCAGCGAAGCGGCCTCGTTCCACACGTTGGAGACGTGCCTGAAGGTGCCGGACGAGATGTGGCAGAGTCTACACCATGAAGCAGAGTAGTGATGCTTGCTTGTGCCAATGCATTCGCCTTCAAACGCGCAGTTGCGTGTCTCTGCAGTGTAGAAGTGCGCGCGGGTTGGAGGGCGGGGCTGTTCCAAATTTGGAATCTCGCGGCAGAGTCGAGCGAAGTGCGGGCGAGCGAGCGGCAACGGCCAACCGGCTCGGATGTGGAGGTTTACTGCCGCGCGCCCGCTCCGCCCCGCTTGACTTGGTCCGCAGCACAAACACAGCTGCACTCGGGGCATCTCCATCATCCCCGACCACCACAACACCATCCACGGTCCACTTCCCTGGCGCAAAGCATCTGCAAATCATGAGCGCGTTCCCAATGCTCCGTACCGTGCCACAGGCATGCCGTGTAAGTGTAGCCCTACCTCGGCCCCGGCTGGCCACTTCGACATAGCATGCTGACATTCTGTGCTTCTGTTGGATTGATGCTTCTGTTGTATTGGCACAGACGATCTCGATGGCCGAGGCACGTGTTGGACTGAGAACGAGCATGCCACAGCAGGTGCGCACGTACTATGGCAAACGCATCGACCCACGCATGCGTCTGGACAAGGCGGCGCGCCGCGGTCCTCGCGTGGCTGAGGCATCCGCACCCACGTCTGGTTCGACGGTGCGCATGGGTCTCATGCTCGGCGGTGGCTCTCTCATCGCCGCTGCTGGCCTGAGCGCATTTGGATCGCAGCGTGTCCAGTGCGAGTCGGCGCGTCCGTACGCGTCTGCCCCCGTATCGGTGGAGACGTCGGGCGACACCACCACCGTATCCACGCAGCCCGAAAGCATGGTCAACGTCTACCAGCTCTCCTTCGGCACCATCTGTGGCGTATGTGCAGGCGTGTTCATCAAGAAGGGCCTCAAACTCATCGCCTTCCTCCTCGGCGGCTGCTACGTCTTGCTCCAGTACCTCAACGGCCAGCGCCTCATCAGCGTCAACTGGAACGCCATCAACTCGCGCTACGACAAACTCGTCAACTCCGCTGCGGGACCTCAAGCTGTGAATGCGCGTGGCTACTCGGGCAGCAAGCTCCAGCGCATCTGGGCCAACTTCACCAACTTCCTCACCGCCGACTTCCAGCCTCGCGCCACGTTCTTGGCCGGCCTCCTCCTCGGTCTGCGTCTCGGATAGTGATCTCACTCTTCAGACGGCTTGAACCTGAATCCGGGCTGTGAAGACTCTCTTATGATAAAGCAAAGATTGAAAGACAAGAACGCCCTCGCATGGGAAGGCTGGTGTCGTGTGTGGGCTTACGAGTCCGTGCATTTTTGAAGGCGCAGCGATAACGGCTTTCAACCAGCGGTCACGGCTGAACGGTGGAAAAAGCGGTAAATTTGGGATGCAGCGTAAAAAAAAGGGTCGTTGAGGCGGGCACCTCCGCATTTCTTCTCGAGTCTGATTCGTCGAGGGGATAGCAGGAGCGGAGAAGCTGCACGAGCTTGAATCTTAGCAACCACCATCGCAGACCCCATCCACAATGTCAGTGCAAGAGATCAATGTGCCGGCGCCAGCCGACTTCCACGTGCACCTGCGTCAGGGCAAGATGTCGGAGCTCGTCAGCCCGCACGTGGCCGAGGGCGGTGTGGCGCTTGCGTACGTGATGCCCAACCTGGTGCCGCCCATCACCTCGGCGCAGCAGGCAAGCGACTACCTCGCCTCACTCAGCGCACTTGCGCCCCAGACCAAGTTCGTCGGCACGCTCTACCTGTCCCCGGCCCTGACGCCGGACGAGATCGCACGCGCGGCCCAGGCGGGCGTGCGCGGCGTCAAGAGCTACCCGCGCGGCGTCACCACCAACTCCGAGGGCGGCATCGAGGACTACGAGACGTACTACCCGATCTTCGAGGCGATGCAGAAGCACAACATGGTACTCAACCTCCACGGTGAGGTGCCATCCAATGCCGACGCCGGCATCTGCGTGCTCAACGCCGAGGAAAAGTTCCTCACCCACCTCTTCAAGATCCACCGCCAGTTCCCGCACCTCAAGATCGTCCTCGAGCACGCCACGACGCGCAAGGCCGTCGAGGCCGTCAAGCAGTGCGGCGACACCGTCGGATGCACCATCACCCCCCACCACCTCGAACTCATCGTCGACGACTGGGCAGGCAAGCCGCTCAACTTCTGCAAGCCCGTTGCAAAGTACCCCGACGACCGCCAGGCGCTGCGCGACGTCATCCGTGAAGGTAAGTATGCGCCGTTTTCAAAGCGCTGATGGAAGGCTTGGAGCTGACATCGTGCGTCATCGGTTGTTGCAGGCCACCCACGCTTCTTCCTGGGCTCGGACTCGGCGCCGCATCCACTGGCCAACAAGTATCCGTCTGCCGTCACGCACGGCGCACCGGGGACCAAGGCGTCGAGCAGTGGCGATGAGGACCTCGAGCCCACGGGTGTGGTTTCGTGCGGATGCGCAGCAGGCGTTTACACCTCGTCGATTCTCGTGCCGCTGTGCGCGACGCTTCTCGAGGGCTTTGGTGCGCTCGACCAGCTGGCCAACTACGTTTCTCTGAACGGCCGCAAATTCTACGGCTACGACAGCGCCGACGACATGAAGAACGGCAGCATTACGCTGCGCAGGGCGAGCAAGGGCGCAACCGGCTCGGCGGCGACAGTGCCTGCAGTGTACGTGCACCCCGAGTACGTCGAGGTGGCCGACTCGGACGCAAGCAAGGTGCAGGTGGTCCCCTTCTGGGCAGGCAAGCGTCTCGGCTGGGAGATTGTGCGTTCCTGAGCCCACACGAATAGGTCGCATCTCGGTGCAGCACATTTTTGGCTCGCACCTCAGCCTGGTTGCAGTGATGCTTGTAGGTTGGCTCGGACAACTAGTGTACCGTGCAACCTGGCAGATGACCGAAACGCCACCGAAACTCGTCTCGACATCAGCACGCTCATTAGGCATGGGAACCTGTGTGGAATGAGAGCCATCGTGGGTCGGAATTGACGGCAAGCTCTTGGACGTGGACATGGGCAGCATGGAAACGATCCGACGGCTGCATTGTGTGGCTTTCGAGGAGCGAGCAGGGCGATGACTTGCTCGATTCCATTTCGCATGTGCTGGCTCGGATCTTTTCTCTTGCGCAGCTGCGATGAGGCACGGCTCGAGCTTGCTTGTATTTGCGGGGCCACTGTCGCTCGCATCTCAAACAATGCGCGCCAAGAAGCCACAGAGCGCAGCGGCTTGCAGCTTATCTGGCTCGCACGTCTCCGCGGGTCGCCGGGCAAATATCCTCGTCGCCGACGCAGCAGGTGCCTGTCTCGATTGTGCTACTACCAACAAGCTTTTTCCTGGATGTTGCGTATCCAGCAAAGAGCACGATTCGCCTATCTGGCAGCAAGGCTTGCAACCCGCGGCGTGGCATCGCCACTTGACGGTTGAGCAAAACAAATTCTTCGTTGTCAGCATATCGTACGCTGCTTGTCGATTCTTTTCTGCCGATGCTGCTGCGACAGCGAGCAGGACGTTATCGACGTGTCATACGTCATGACAAGTGCGCAAGAGAGCACGGAGGTCCGAGGCTAAATGCGATGTGCGTGTGGGAAAGCGGAAGAGCGAGAGTTTGAGAGACAGAGAAGCTTGTCGAAGCAGCCGAGCCAAAAATGCGGAGATAGCCGGCTCTATGGCAGTGTGAGGCTAGCGAGATACGACCTCGACCACGCAGTTCCGCTTCGTGAGCGCCCAGCTGATCACCATGTGAAGCGGCGGCGTGTCCAGAGCGTCATGCCGCGCAAAGAAGAGTGGATGGCTCGACGCAGTGTGAAGGCACAAGGTGGTCGAGAAAGTATCCGTATGGCGTCGGCTGGGAAAGAGGGTTTGAAATGAGCTCTGCGCACACTGGCTCAGGCGAGACGCGCGATTCGCCAACCCTGCCGCATCAAGGTGGGCTGCGAAAGTTGCGCGCCCAATGGCAACCAAACAGAGCACCGGCAGCGCAGGCACGGCGAGGCACGGTGAGCAAAGCTTCATTTTGCACGTCACCATCCGCCTTCCCGGCGGAATTGTTCGCGTGTGCAGCGCCTAAGCCAGGAAGGAGCATGTCCATGTGAAGTCACGAAGATCCGAGCGAGGCTCGAGAACCACCAGAGTCTGGCGCAAACACACAGCACACACACACTCTCTCTCACACAGTCACCAACACACACAAGGCTTGGCGCAACCGCTGCGCCGCGGAGCTCGCGCGTCCAGCCAGGGCGTAGCCACGTTGCAAGTCACCTGCCATTGCGTCGCGCCATGCCAGCGATCACGCATTCTGTCGGCGTGGGGTCATCAGCGGGATGGGTTTGGCGAGGTACATCCACCGATATGGAAGCTTCATCAAGCTCGGCGACTTCGCGAATGGGGAGGGGGTGGGAGCGCGACCGGGGTCCTACGCCAAAGGGTGCTGGTACCGCGGTTGCTTGCAAGCACCGAGCGAGGCTCGACTCGAACTACCGAACGTGCATCGGATTCATGGCAGCCGTATGAAGCTGAGCGAGCGACCCCACACCTGGCGCTCCAACCGGGACACTCGGTGCGTTGCGCTCAGCTTTTGGTCAAGCGAGGTGCAAGTCGCGAGCTTGCACTTCATCCGAAGCTTGCCCATCATCAAGATGGATCGGCACCACGCAGCATGCGCATCCGAAGCCGTTCAAGCTTGGTCGCCGCACAGACGCGGGTGCCAAGACGGATGGAGCTGAGCTTACAGCACCAGCATTCGTCGGCCAATTTAGCATACAGTATGCCCAACGAGCTGCCCACCCTGATCACAATCCACGGCTCATAACAAACCGTGAGAACTTTGTTGCCCTCAAGCTCACATGCACAACACTCGGATTTTCGTCCACTTGAGATCCAACTTTTCCAACCTTCTCGAGCGCAACATTTCCAATTCCAAGCCGTGGCCCAAGCGCGAGTCGCCAGAGACGCAGAGAGAGCTGCTGCTGCTGCTGCTGCACGGCCAACCAGGGCCACGCCAGGCACGTCGCGCCCATTTCCAATGCACAGCATCCAGAAGGCAAGTGACATCTGTCGACATGCATCACACCTCAAGCTCAACACACACTGGCTCTTGCTTGCACCGCCGAAGCGCCGTTCTTCGTCTAATGAAATCGAGCGGTTCAATCAAGTGGCTTCCGCAATCCTGTGGGCCCAATCGAATCCACTCGTCGCTCCTGCCCCGCTGGGTGGCTTGCCCTCACTCTCCCTCTATCTCTCGTTCGTGACGATGAAACCGGATGCATGCTCGTTCTCTGCCCTGCCTGCGGCCCGCTCTCCACCTCCATCCCCGGGTGCATAGCCCAGGACTCGAGACAAGGCTCCCGGTGCATCAAATCCAACAGCGGGCCCCTCGTTAGGCGTAATCACACCCGCAACACACGTGCACTACGCCTCGCCCATTGGCGCCCGCCCGCCCCTCGCCCCAGTATCAAGATTTGCCTGGGGTGGAACAGCAAGCAGGCACGCAGGCACCCCGGCACGCAGGCACTGCTTGCTCGGTGCGTGCGTGCCTCTTCGCTCCCCGTGCTTAAAAGGGACACCACCAACATGCTTGCTCGCCACCATCCACCCACCCCTTCCTCCCCACCAGTCCTCACAGTACAGTACATTTCGTGAGCAAGCATGTACCTCTCCCAGCCTCGAGACATCATACCACTTTCGCCAGGATGTTCCCGACGCCCCGCCTCCCTCCACTCGTATTCAGCCGAGCGCGAGCGGCTCTCCTCAAGCACGTCGTGGGTGTCGGACCGTTCCTCCATACCTAGTCCCACTTCCGACTCGTCGGCGGCGTGCTTCTCCTTTTCTCCGCACCAGGCTCGCGCACAGGAAATGCAGCCCATTACGCGCCCAGCTGTCGGCGTGCATGGCGAGCCACATGGGCTGTCATTGGATCGACTCAAGTTCGACGCCACTGCCGTCACCGAGCCCAGCAGGCCGCGATCGCGATGGATGCGCTCGCAGCACTTTCAAAACGTCTGGGACAGCTTGGACCCGGGCACCGTCGACACTCGGCCACTGCATCCCTACACCGAGCTCATCAAGCTCTGCATCCTCAAGCGACGCGAGGGCAAGCTCACCCTGAACCAGCTCTACCGCGACCTCGAAGACAAGTTTGCCTTTTTTGCCAGCTCCGCCAAGGGCAAAGGCTGGAAGGTGAGTCTACTGCCCACGTGCTTGGTCCAACGCTGTTGCATGCATACACCTGACACCTTCTCTCATTTGGCTGTCGGCTTGCAGAACACGCTGCGCCACAACCTGTCTACGCAGCCGTATTTTATCAAGCTCGACCGCGAGCACGGCCAGCTGGGCAAGGGCCACTACTGGGCATACTGTCCGGATCTTGAGAAGCCCACGTCGCTCGCCCAGAGCTCCGTGGTACAGCTCTCGTCGCTCTGGCCTCCGTCGGCCACGTCCGCGTCGGCGTCGCTCTCGGATGTGGCGACGCGTGGCCTGAGCAGCG